TACAACAGTGGCATCATGTAATATTTGTCCTTTTGTGACTGGGATATTTCACTCAGCATAGTGTTCTCCAGAGTCAACCATTTTGAATAAGGTTGCACCATTTTTCACTCCCACCAACAGTGTTAAAGGGTTCCAGTTTCTCCGCAACCTCGCCAGCATTTGATGTTTGCTGTTCTGTTAAATTTTGTAAATTTTCATTACAATTAATAATAGTAACAATAATACCTTCAACTCCCTGCCATCAAGTTGGAACTGACTCATAACTGACCCTGCGGTGAATTTCTGAGGCTGTAAATCGCACAAGGGAGGAGATTGCCCTGCTTCCTCCTGAGGAGATGCTGGTGGATTTCCACAGAGGCACTGCCTTCGAGTTAGAGCACAACTCCTTACGGTCTACACCAACAGAGCGCCCTGAAAGGAGAACGAGAAGGTGAAAAGGAAAGTTTGCCTATATGTCACACATACACATGCAATGTTGGGTGCTGCTGAGTTGCAATCAACCTATAACTGGGTTTTCAGAGGCAGTTGATTGAACAGGAGGAGATTGCCCCTCCTTCTCCCGCACACATACGATAAGCCGTGGAACCCGAAGTCATGAAGAGTCATAAATGAAACAAAACAAAACAACCCTGTTGAAGGTTCCTCTCTAAGCTTGCTTGGCCCATTGATTTAATCATCTGGCGTAATGGCTCCGTGGAATAGTCTGTTTGTTTTAGTTGTTATTATTATTTCAAAGGTGAAAAGGAGTAAGGATGAAAAAGTCATTTGGTCCAAGACAAATAGTTTGTGGGTACCAGAACTGGGAGTTGAATGAACCGTTAGTTGAAGACTGATTTCAGAGTTCAAACTCATACTCAAAACTTGTTGCTGTCAAGTCAGAATCAGCTCTCAGATGGGTTTTCTGAGCCTGTAAATCAATCACATGGGAGGAGATTGTCCATCTTTCTCACTGAGAGGTGCTCGTGGCTTCAGGGAGCCTTCGTGTTAGCCACGCAACTCGCTGAGAAATTAGCATTTGGAAATACCATCCTGTCTGTCCAAAGTGAACGAAAAAGTTATTCTTTTAAAAAAGAATTCCTTTTGTTTGAGTGAAAGTTCACAAAGCAAAATAGTTTTCCAAATTCAACCATTCATATGTGTTTTGTTTCATAACATTAATGACAATACCCACAAAGTAGTCACAATCTTCCCACTTCCTTCTTGTGATTCTCATTTCCACTCATCCTTCTGACTCACTCCTTCCTGCCTTCAGGCCTTTATCCTTGGGCAGGTCAATCTTGTGGGAGGGACCTCACATGGTTGAACTATTCCCATCAGGACTGGTGGGACCCCTGACACTATGGCCCTTTGTCACCTTTTGAACCTGTAACAAAACTCAACACCTGGTTCAACTTTCAGTCAAAGGTTGTTATTGGTGTTATGTGTAGTCAAGTCAGAGCTGACACCTACTTGACCGTCCAGCTGGTTTTCAGAGGGAAGAGACTGGTCATCTTTCCTCCATAGACCAGCTGGGTGAATTCGAACCCCCAACCTTTGGATTAGCAAGGCAACTCTTTACCACTAGTCCACCAGAGGTCCCTTGACAAAGATTGTTGTTGTGTACTATCAAGTTGGAACCAACCCAAAGCTGACCCTCCAACGTGTTTTTGGAGGTCATTAATCACACGGGAGGGCATTAGGCAATTCTATAAAACGACCATTCCCTCCTTTAAAAGTTTTGTTGGTTTGTTTTTGTTTTGTTTTTAATTAAAGGAGAGAATCATCCTTTATAAGAAATGCAAAGTTCTGTTGCTTTTTTGCTATTGTTGTTCTGCTGCTTTTAACATTCTCAGGTTGAATGTGTCTCTGGAGTAACTCACCAGGTCGCGAGGGCAGGCGATGGGACCTGAAATGGGGCTTGTAGCTAAACAGTCCATTGATTTTTAAAATTGGCTTTTAGCTCAGCGGGAGGGGAGGGGGGCTGAGGGACAGGACTCCTGGATCTGAGGGAGGTGGTAACTGGGTGTGGGACCCCTGGTCAGAGGGAGGAGGTGTGAGGACAGGATTCCTAAGAGTGGAAGAGCTGGGGGTGGGACTCCCGCTCTGAGAGAGGAGGAGTTAGGGGTGAGGATTCCGGGGTTGGAAGGAGGATGAGTCTGGGAGTCAAGACTCCAGGGTCTGAGGGAGGAGGGGCTGAGGGTCAGTACTCCTGGGTGTGAGGAAGGAGGGGCCTGAAGGGTGAAGACTCCCAGGTCTGAGGGAGGAGGGGCTGAGGGTTCAGGACTCCTGGGCCAGAGAGGGCAGTGAGCTTCTTAATGCCAGAGTGAGGAGCAGCGACTGCCTATGTTTTTGCCACATGATGGTGAGGGGAGGTGGAATCGTCAGGAGGCATTCAGTGGTTTGAATCCAGAGGATGCAGGTGGGGAAGAAATTCTGGGAGAGAAACAGGAAAGGCAGGTGGGCGGGTGAGCCTGGGCCGGGTCAGATCCCTCAGTCAGCAGCATCTGAGGTGTGACTGTCGCCCACAGAGCCTTTGATGGCAGGTGCCTGGGACAGCCTGTGAGTCACTGCCAACTCCCTTCTCACCTCCCTTCCAGGTTCTTCTCTGGGAGCAGGAACCCACCTACCTGGGTCCCCAGCTCGGTTTGGTGCCCAAAGGCTAACTTCTCACTTTTGGCAGAACACTGACAATCCAGGTATCCCATCGACCATCCTGCCAATCCCTCAATCTCAGTTTCTCTCTCTCTCTCCCTCTCCCAATCCCTCTCCCCTTTCTTTCTTGCCCTCCCATTGTACAGATAAGAGAAACAGAGGTCTGGCAAGTGGAGAAGAAAGACACCCCAGAACAGGAGGGTAGAGTCAGGACTCAAAACCACACACACATTTTCTTTTCCAGGATCCCTCCTTTAAAAATCCCTCCACACCAACTTTTATTTTTCAGGTTATAAAAGTAACCAGACTGAAACTCAGTGTCACTGTGTGTTGGTCCCAATTCATAGCAAACCCCCACTGGGCTTCCAAGGCTGCAGATTTCCACAGGAGGTGGTCGATTCTTCTCCCTCAGAGCAGCCAGTGGATTTGAACTGCTGACCTTTTTGGCTAGCATCTGATACTTTATGGACCATGCTGACCCTGGACCAATAAGCAACAGCATGATAGTTGGAGAAAAGATTGAAGCTGTCAACAATTTCATTTTACTTGCATTCACAACCCGCACCCATGGTAACAGCAGTCGAGAAGTCAAAACACATGTTGCACCGGGAAAAATCTACTGCTGGAGACCTCTTCAAAGTGCCAAAGAGCAAGGATGTTAGCTTAAAGACTAAGGTGCTCCTGATCCAAGCCGTGGTCTTTTCGATTACTTCTTATGCATTTGAAAGTTGGACAATGAGTTAAGAATAACAAAAGAATCTTTGAACTGGGGTGTTGGAGAAAGGACCAAACATGCCACGGACTGCCAAAAGAATAAACAGGTCTGTCTTGGACTAAGTGCAATTGGTGTGATCCTGAGAGGCAAGGATGATGACACCTCATCTCACATACTTTTGGGCATGTTGTCATGAGGGGAAATCCTAGGAAAAAAAGACATCTTGCTGGGAAAGGAAGAAGGTCAGAGAAGAGAGGAAGACTTTCAACAACACAGACTGACCCAGTTACTTCTGTACCAATGAGCTTTTCGCCTATCAGAGATCATGATTATGGTACTGGATAGAACAACGTTCAGATGTGTGGTTTGTTATGAGTCATCGCTGATTCGATGTCACATACAAACAACACGCCATAGAGCCTAGAAACATAGACTGAAAGGACAGAGACACCCCCTTCCATGACCACCACAAGGTACTTTGATACCCATCCTTCTATGTTTTATTCTGTGAATATTTCAACTAGTATCTCATACAGATCTACTTCCATAGCTTTCATTTTAACAGTATATAGTACACACACTTTCCCATAACATGAAGAATTCTGCATCCATATTATTTTTGAGGGTTTCATGCTCGTCTCTCAAACTGGCCTGTTGTCTTCCTTTAAAAATCTATTCATTTGGAACACCTTTGACATTTTAAAATTTGTTCTTGTGATGAATAAGGCAGGCTGTGGTGATTTCACATCTCGTCCAACCTTTCTGATACCTCTTGAAGTGTCGTTCCAAAACCAGGATTTGTGCCAAAGTTCTTGGCCAGAGATCTTGAGCACGTTGCCAAACAGTATTCCCTAACAATGGTATGCATTTATAGCTCCGCTGTTTGAGACTGTTAGTCTCACTGCAACTTGGCCAGCACTGAGGTTTTTGTTTTTTTCATTGTTTGGGTTTTAAGTCCTTGTGAATCTGATTGGTTTAAAATATGGCATACGATTGAGGTTTTATACAATACGTCTTTGAGGAAAGGCAAAGCCAAATAGGTTTGTTTTGTTTCTTCCCTACCCCGTTTCCTGAGAGTTCATTATCCTCACAAAACTCAAAACAAGTCTGTGAAAAGGTCTTAATCACAGGTAGCCAAACGGGTTTTCATAAGTAACTGGTGGCCTTCCTTTCTGTTAGTATCACATGGCCATTTGGTTTTAATCAGTTCTTTCTCATGGTCTCCTTTATCCAAGAGACGTACTTGCAGACTTGGGTGTAGACCCCTGGGTCATTGGGCTGGCCACAGGGGAACGTACCCCAGGACACCAGGCCTTGTAGAGTTCCTTTGCATATCAGTGGTCCCCCCGAGTCACCCTAGAACGGAGAGAATGAAAATTTAGCTTCAAAGAAAAGTCTCAACCCCACTTTAACTCCATTATATTCTCCCAATTACTGACCTTTCTTTCATTCTGCTTAGATGTGTCAATACCACGCTGACCAATAAGAAGAGGCTCAATGTTTATGGCAACCAATAAAAGGGCATGATTTGGGGTTGTCATGGAGATGGCAAACCAGCTTCTTTAAGGACACTGGCTTGAGCCACGGCTAATGGAATCAGTTGAAGGAAAGGGGACCGGGCTTCCAGGAATTCCAGCAGAGTCTCTTTTTTCAGTGTTAAGGACTCCATTCCAAACCAGAAAGGGAGAATTACCTTCTGATACAACTGCCACAGGGTTGATTCTGACTCATAGCAACCGTGTAGGACAGCGAAAAACTGCCCCATGGGGTTTCCCGGGCTGTAAATCTTAACAAAAGCAGATCAATACATCTTTCTCCCTTGGAGTGAACGGGAGGTACCAACCACCAATTTTTGGGTTCTTAACTTGTTGCTTAACCCTCTGCTTCACAAGTACTCCAGGGATTGTTATCTGCACCAAAGGCACCAAACGAGGATACTGGGTGCAGGTCCAGCCACATGATTTCCGGGACCTTCAAAGAACCCTGGTGGCATAGTGTTGAGCAGCTAACTAAAAGGTTGGTGTTGCAAACCCACCGACTATCCCAGAGGAAGAAAGAAGGTGACCTGCTCCCCTTAAGAGTCACAGCCCAGGTAGCTTAGCGGTAGGTCAACTTAAAAGCAACGGGCATAGTTCTTGGTTTGATGCATGAAGCAAAGTGGAGTTCCCTATACAAAAATGAAGATATTCAAGATGGTGACAGAAAAGGTATTAAAACCAAGCCTCGCCCTTTTCAGCACGGGGTCTTGGGTGATCACCTGGATTGAACTTTTGTGAGGCCAACTCTGATTAAGGGAGAAGGTGTAACCTCCCATCCTCGGAGACACACACTCCCATAGCAACATCTTGTTTGGTTGTTTGTTTTTTGTTTTGTTTTGTTTTTTTATTTTGTGTGCGTGTACCGTCAAATCAAATCTGACTGGTACAGGAGGAGATTGCGCCTCCTTCTCCGGCAGAGCATCTGGTGGATTTGAACTGTGTTCCTCTGGGATTGCTGTGCAGCTTCTTGGCACTAGGACACCAGAGCTCCCCCATATCAACATCTTAATGCTCGAGACTCTGGTGACACGTCTGGAAGGAGGTATATTGCTAATCCCAAAGGCCTCACCTCTCTAGTTATTCCAATTCACTAATTGCTCTGTGGGAGGAAAAAAATGGGCCATCTCCTTCCATGGGATTTACAGCCTCAGAAACTCAATGGTAGCTCCGTTATGTGTTGCTTTCAAATTGACAGCAATATGAAAGAGTTGTTGTTGTTGTTAGGTGTCATTGAGTTGAGTATGACCCACAGCAACCCTGTGAACAACAAATCTTAACTGTGTCCTCTCCTGTGACATCCCTATCATCTCTGACACACTTGATCTCATTGCTGCGTCAATCACAGCGTAATCCATCCCACTGAGGGTCTTTCTTTCTTTTGCTGTCCTTCCACCTCTCCAAACATTCTGTCCCTTTATTAAAGGATGCCTGCAACTGTTTCTCCTCATTTCGAGTGCCTTCTAATGTAGGATATATTCTAATACTATAGTCCTCTATTGTTTATAGGGTTTTTGGAGGCCTGTTATTTCAGAAGTGGGTGACCAATCCTGTTTCCTAGTCTGTCTTACTCTAAGAGTTCTGCTGATAGTTTCCAGCATCACAGCAATCCACAAGTTACTCTAGTACAGCAAACAGACAGACAAGTACTGTACCAATAAGAACAAGCACTAAACAGGCAAGCATATACATACCTCAGCTATAAATGAAGTAATTGGGAGCATGCAAATCATTTCCCAAATACAGTGGGCTGATAGACAGGTATATTTTTTAACAACAAACTGTATGTGAGAGTGAGATTCCCAATATATACCACTGTACCTCCCCTGAAAACGATGGTGCAAGATGAGAAAAGAGAGTTAGGAGATAGAGAGACAGAGAGGGGAAAGAGCCAACGATAAGGGAAAATGAAGCAGAGAGGAGGGCAGAGAGAAGAAATGAGAAGGAGGAAGAGGACAGTGGTTGGTTGCTGTTGAGCTAATCCCTACTCATGGTGACCCCAAGTGTGCAGAGCAGAACTGACCACACAGTTATTAGCACTACTACTATAGGAGGACTGTGAGCAATTACTTATGGACACCACTGCACTTGGACCAGGAGACAGTTCTGGTGGCCTAGTGGCAAGAAGCTGTGCTACAATCAAGAAGTCCCATGGTTCAAATCTACCATCTGCTCCATGGGAGAAGAAGCGGCAATCTCCTCCCATACGATTAAGTGCCTCTACAAACCCACAGAAACGTCAGCTCTGGGTCAGTTCACAACAACAATAAACTGTAGAAGAAGAGTACTGAATATCCCTCAGATTGCCAAAAGAACAAACAGATAGGTCCTGGAGAAGGTGAAGCCCGAGTGCTCCTTGGAGGCAATGAAGGAAGGCAAGGCTTTGTTTCACATACTTTGGCCATGTTGTTGGGAGAGGCTGTTCCTTGGAGAAGGACACCATGCTTGAAAAGGTGTAGGGATGGCAAAGGAGAGGAAACTCTCAACCAGGTGGATTGACACAGTGACTGAGGGTGTCAAGAGATTGTGAGGATGGCACAGGATAAGACAGGGTTCAGATTTGTTGTTCATAGGGATGCTATACATAATACTACAGGGTCATACTTGACTGCTCGTCCTTCTTCTACAGATAGGCTGATGGGTTGGAACTGAGTGCCTTTGGGGTTGCAGTGCAACTTCTTACCACTAGGCCACCAGAGCTCCTTGTATGACAGTTATTGTTAAATGCCATCAAGTCACCAGTGACTCATAGCGACTCTATACAACAGCTCTGAACCCTGCTCTCTCCTGAGCCAACCTCACCATCTCCGACACACCTACTCCCATGACTCCAGTCAGTCACTGAGTCAATCCATCTCATCGAGGGTCTTCCTCTCTTGCACTGTCCCTCCACCCTCCCAAGCATGGCGTCCCTCTCCAAGGACTGGTCCGTCCTTGCAACATGTCCAAAGTATGTCAGATGGAGCTTCAGAATCATTGCCTGCAAGGAGCAGCCTGGTTTTATGGTGTCCTGGGCCAGAGCAGTTAGAAGCCACCTGTGATGCGGCAGAAAAAAAGGCCTTGCTATCTCTTCCTGCAGAGATTCATAGGAGGAAGGTGGTGCTTGTCAAGTGTCACTGAGTCCATGATGAGTCACAGGGACTCAATGAACAACAGAGCTGACCCTCGTCCTGTCCTGCGTCCTTCTCACCATCTCTGACATGCTCAAGCCCACTGCTAGAGTCACTGTGTGAATCCACCTCGTTGAGGGTCTTCCTTGCCTTCTCTGACCGTCCATCCTTCCCAGCATGATGCCTTTTTCCAAGAACTAGCCCCTCCCATGAATAGGAGGAAAGGAGAAACACAGAAATGTAAGTGAGGGCTGAGTCAGAGACAAGAAGCCTGAGACACAGGGTGAAAAAAAACCAAACAAAACAAAGTTACAGAGACACAAACCCAGAGATAAGACTGAGAAGAAAGGGGAGCTCTGGTGGCCTAGTGGCAAGAAGCTGCAACTACAATCCCAGAGGCGCACGGTTCGAATCCACCAGATGCTCTGCCGGGGAAGGAGGGGCAATCTCCTCCTGTACCAGTCAGATCTAATTTGACGGTACACGCACACAAAAATAATAATAATAATAATAATAATAATAATAATAATAATACTGAGAAGAAAGACATCAAATAGGCAGAATGAGAGATGTGCTGAAGGAAGTTCAGAGACAGAAAGGGAGGATACAAAAGAAAATAAGGAAATGAGGAATAAGGGCTAGTTCTTGCCCTAGGATTGAGATCACTAGAACTAGGATTGGGAAAAATTGAGGAGTCAGACAAAAACCCACCACCGGGTCAATCCTGACTTGTAGCGACCCTGTAGGTCAGAGCAGAGCAGAGCAGCCCTGTAGCGTTTCTAAAGCTGTAACCTTCACACAAGCAGATGGCTGCATCGTTTTCCCTTCGAGTGTCTACCAAACTTCTTCACTGGTGACCAAGCTGGCAGCTTGATCCATTGCACAGCTAAAGCTCCTTCCAAAAATGTAGCCGACCAAAACCCCACTGCTGCTGACCAAGGTTTCCAACCTGTAGTGACCCTCCACCTGATTCCCAAGACTATAAATCCTACAGAGAGAGGACCACCTCATCCCCCTCCCTTGGAGAGGCGGGTGAATTCGAACCATCAACCATTTGGTTGGCAACCAAGCACTTAACCACTGTCCTCCTAGGGCCCTTTTCCAACATAAAACAAATGAATGAACTTGTACTCCTACTCTTTGCCACTGAGTTGGAACAGACTCATAGCTGACCCTTCATGGGTTTCTGAGGCTACAAATTGCAAGGAAAGACATCGCCCATCTTTCTTGGCACACCACTCCCTATGAACCACACTACCAGGGCGCCCTTTTTTCAATTTCTAGAACCCATCAAGAAGCAAACAAACAAAACTCATTGCTAGTAAGTCCGTTCCAACCCGCAGCAGGCTTAGTTGGCACAGTAGAATTGCCTCGCTGTGGTTTTCTTGGCCATAAATCTTAACAGAATCCAAATGCCACATCTTTATAACTTGGAGCAGCTGGTGAGTTCGAACTATCACCCTCTCAGTTGATGTCTTATCCACAGTGTCACCAGGGCTCCACTCCAGAACCACCCACTGTCCTCAGGGTCCATTCTGACTCAAGGTGACCCTCCATTAGCGTAAAGCGACTGGTGGACTCAAACCGCTGCACTTTCAATCAACAATCAAGTGTATAATCCACTAGCTCACCAGGGCTCCTTCTCCCCACACCAGCCTCTAGCTGGACTCCAACTCTAGACCCAGGTAGAGAATGAGGTCGAGGTAGAGAATGAGGTAGAGAACATCTAGAGAGCCGGGCCTGGCAGGACGTGGGGGAAGACACTGCCTCAGTGTGGGTGGGGGCCACTATCTGAGCCAGGAACAAGGATGGCAGAGAGGACAGGGGGTGTCCAGCTCTGGGGAAGAAGTGACCCTCACATTGCAGGCGTTCTTCTTGGAGTCCGGGATGCCAGCACACAGCATCGACTTGCCCAGCATATCCTTGTACACCTTACTGCAGTCCTTGTGGGAGATGAGGTTGACATCAGCGCACATGAGACTTGAAGGGAAGGTCACTGCAGGACATGAGAGGGGTCAGTAGAAGGCCTAGACTCAGGGCTGGGCTGGGGGCTGAGGGAGGAGGAGATGGGGGTCTGGACTCCAGGGTCTGAGGAAGGAGGGGATGGGGACGGGGATGGGGGCCGGACCTCTGTGTTGGGGAGCAGCCTCACCGTCAGGGCTGGTGGTGGTGCCCCAGCCAGAGACCGTGCACTGGGTCCCTGGGGGTTCGCACCGGGAAGGCAGGGTGACGGGCTTCACATTGGATGACATCCTGACTGGAGTTCTCAGCTTCACCAGCATGATGTCGTTGACGTGGGTCTGCGTGGAGTACTCCGGGTGGCGGATGGACTTGGTGGCCCTAATCTTCTTACTCCCTTTGTCATTGAGTTTTAGACTGCCCATGTAGACGTTGTATTCACTGCGGGAGATTGAAAGCAACATTAAAGAGATGATGTGACAGGGTGGAGGGGACAGCAACAGCGCAGGAGAGGAAGACCCCCGATGAGATGGATTGACACAGTCACGAGAGTGATGGGGGTAGGGGTGTCAGAGTCAGTGAGACTGGCCCAGGACAGGGCAGACTTCAGAGCTGTTGTAAGTAGGGTCGCTGCATGTCACAGGCAACTTGAAGGCACATAACAACAAGACAGGGACAGAGATCCAGAGAGAGGGGACAGATACCCGAGGAGATACAAACAGAGGCCCAGAGAGAAGGGGACTGAGACAGAGAGTGAGAAGGACAGAGACCTAGCGAGAGTTGGCATCCCCAATGACGCCCCCACACCCTAGCCCATCTGGGTGCACGTACTTCATCTTGCAATGGGCAGCGGTTAGCACCCAACGCTCGTTAAGCAGGACACCCCCACAGTGTAACTGACTGCCCTTGAGCAGGGCCACCTGCGAGAGCTGAGCTGCCTTGGGACACGGGTAGCCCTCGATAATCTTCTCCCCGCCTTTGTTCTCCAGGTCACTCTCTGGAGAGGAGAAAAAACAAAAACAAAACAAAACAAAAAAACAAAAACAAAAGCATGGGTAGCAACTGTCAGCAGAAGGCTGAGGTAGAGACCCAAGGAAGGCGAGAGGGAAGAGATGGAGAGGAAATGGGCAGACAGACAGGCATGCAGAGGAAGACAGGCAGGTAGGCGAAAAGAGACCAGCACAGAGCTGAATTCCAGACAACAGAGAAGAGAAATCAAGGGCAGAAAAGGCAGAAAGAGAAGGTGGGAACATGGGAGGTGGAGAGGGACAGAGGAGGGAGCACACCCAGAAACTCAGAACTTCTCCAGAGCCTACACAAGCCCACGGGAGAGACACCGAGTGCAGGAGACAGAAGAAGGAAGCAGAGAACAGGGGCACGTGAGGAAAGGAGGCAGGCTGTCCAGCACAGGAGGAAAGGGAGACCACTCTGGACAGAGGGGTTCCTCAGAGGGTCAGTGTGGGAGCCAGGGGCCCAGCGTCCAGGTTGAGCCTCCAGGTCTAGCCCTCACCTTGTTGTCCAAAAGCACCCAGGACCAAGGACAGCAGTAGGATCGGCAAGTGTCTCGCCATGGTGGCCTTCAGACCCCCTCAGGGGCTTCTAAATCAAAGGGACGGGGACTCCTGCTGGTCCTAGGATGGGTAAAATGTTTGGAAAGAGGAAATGAATCTCATACTCCTTGACATCCCGAAGCCCTGGCACCCAGCCCCTCCTCCCTCAGACTCAGAAATCCTGACCCCTATCTTCTCCTCCCTCAGACCCTGGACTCCTGCCCCCCCACCCCTCCTCCCTCAGACCCTGGGGTCCTAACACCCAGCTCCTTCCTCCCTCAGACCCCAGAGTCTCTTCCAGTGTCCTGCATCCCTACGACCCAGGACCCCAGCCCCTCCTACCACAAGCACCCTGAGTTCAGATCCCCTCTCCCCTCAAATCTAAGAGCCTAAGCTTGCTCCAGATTTCTGAGACCCAAGGGTCTCACTCACTTCTCTCCCAGGACCCAGCTGTCCAGTCCCAGACCCCTTCTCCCTAGGGACCCAGGATCTTGCATCTCCAGCCCTCTCTTCCTTCTGGTTTCAAAGTCTCCCCCCCCCCAAATTGAGAAAAAAGAGTCTTTTGTAGGGTACCCCAAATTCCAGACTCTAGCTGCTCATCTTTCAGGACCAAGAGTCCAGACCCCTGAAGTCCCCGTCCTCCAGAAGTGGAATTCCAGTGTGCAGCGCGCCCAGCCGCAGGCGCCCAGCCCTCCTTACCTGCTCACCTGCCGAGGGCTGGATCCCTGGCTCAGGACTCAGCCAAGAGCCAAGTGTCCCTGACCCTCTGCTGGGAGGCTCTCTTATAGAACCTCCACCCCCGCGCCTGTGCCCGCCCTCAGAGCCTGGGGGTGCAGGCGGAGCCCGCTCTGGGACACCCCCTCCCTGTGTTTGCTTATCTCGAACCCCTGGGGCTCCCCGAGGTCTGGGCGGGACTGAACTCGGCTATGGGCCGCCCTCGCACATTCTGATGCCTCTGCGGTGGCTGATTCGGGGGAGGTGCCTGCGCGCTGGCCGTGAGGGGGCTGAATTCAAGGAGGAGCTTTCTCGGAAAAGGGTCCTCCTCTGAGGCCATGCATTTGTCAGCATCCTCTGTTCAGAGAGACCTCAGACCTTCCCCTGCATCTTTCTCACATAGACTGCTTGGCTTAAACCCTTGTTACAATCACTACAACCATCCGTCTCTAAGAGTCTTCCTCGTTCTTGCTGACCTTCCTCTCCAGCGTTGTAAAAGGAAGACCCTCAACAAGGTAGATGGATGCAATGACTTCCACGCCACAGACATGGTGAAGACCGTGCAGGTCTGGATCTGTTCATAGGATCACCCAGAGTGTTGGTCGACTTGACAGCATCGAGCCACTACGAGTGTTTCGAGCATTACGTCTTTCTTCAGGGACTGGCCCCTCTTGGTTACAAGTCCAATATATTTGAGGTGAAGTCTCCTTCTAAGGAAGATGGTGATAAAGAATGGAGTAGTATTTCCTTCTGCTGCACATCAAGTCACTGGGGGTTAGAACTGCCTCATAGGGCATCAAAATAACAAGAACAAATGCCCTCTCCCTTCCAATTCTGAGCAGCCTGTGTTCTCCCTCTGAACCCAAACCCTATTTCTAGTCCTTGGATGTTGCCGTTATGGACAATGAGTAAAGATGACAGAAGAAGAATCGATGCCTTTGAATGGTGGTGTTGGAGAAGAGCGCTGAAAATCCCATGGATGGCCAAAAGAACAGATATGTCTTGGAGAAGGTGCAGCCAGAGTGCTCCTTAGAAGCACAGGGGATGTAGCTTCATCTCGCATACTTCGCGGCATGCCGCTAGGAGAAGCTGTTCTTTGGAGAAGGACATCATGCTTGGGAAGGTAGAGCGTGGGCGAAGGAGAGGAAGACGTGGATTGACACTCACTTGTGTCACACAGCAGCGGGCTTGAGTGTGTCAGAGAATGTGAGGATGGCGCAGGATAGGACTGGGTTCAGCTCTGTTCTTCATAGAGTCGCTATGACTCATCTCTCCTTGATGGTATCTAAGGAAAACAACAACCACATCAATTGAAATTCATGGTGACTCCAGGTGACAGAGTGGAACTGCCCTACTGGATTTTCTTGGATAGGATCTCTCCAGAAGCAGCTGGCAGGCCAGGTCTTTCTCTTGCAGAGATGCTGGGTGAGTTGAACCAGTGATCTTTCTACTAGCTTGACCATTCACTGCAAGGGTTTCTAATCCTAGTATGTTGTTGTTGTAATTAGGTGTTATTAAGTTTGCCACTATCTTGATGATCTCTGTCATGTTCAAGCCCATTGCTGCATTCACTATATCAATGCATCTCATTAAGGGTCTTCCTCTCTTTTGCTTAACATCTAACTTTCCCAGCGTGATAGCTCTCTCCAGGAACTGGTTCCTCTTGACAACATACCATCAGATGCACCTTAGTCTTTAACCAACATCTTTGCTCTTTAGACCTTTTGATAGGTAGATCCAAGACAGCAGAATTTCCAATGAAACAATATTGATGTTTGTTGTGATGTACCCTCAAGTTGGAACTCATCCATAGCTGACCCTCTATTGGCTTTTCAGAGTTTTCAAATTGCCTGGGAGGAGACTGTTCATCTTTCTCCCACAGAGCAGCTGATGGATTTGAACCATATGCATTCGGGTTACCAGCATAGCTCCTTACCACTAGGCCACCATAGCTCTAATTTACAGGTATAAAAATAGAAGAATGTTTCCCCTAACCCCACCTCCACACAATGGTACTGTTTGGTGTGTGTTTTCACATGCATTTTTAAGCATTATACACAAATTCCTATGTTGTTGTTGCTTGATGCCATCATGTCGTAGACGACTCATAGCAAACCTATGAACGAACAGCATGAGCACTCTTCGTACATAGAGTTTCCGGAGGCAAGCCATTTTGGAAGTGGATGCCGCTCCTGCTTCCAGGCTTGATTTAGTCGGGAAGCTCCAACCAACACTGTCCACCATGGGTGCCCATTACCACGAATGGCACATCACTGTCACAGGCTTCAGCATCACAGCAACCACGAGTTACCTCTGTACAGCAACGCACAGACCAGTGCTGTACCACCTAGAAGAATGTTTGACAGGAAGACAATTTGAACCTGGCCGAGGGCCACAGATGACAATCACCCACCTTCAGCTTGGTAGCACAGCTTCCTTCCACTAGGCCAACGTAGCTCTCTCTTGGTCGTCGTCATTGTTGTTGTTTAATGCCGTCAAGTTGTAGACGACTCATAGCGACCCTATGAACGAACAGCCTGAGCACTCTTCATACATAGAGTTTCCGGAGGCAAGCCATTTCGGAAGTGGATGCCGCTCCTGCTTCCAGGCTTGATTTAGTCGGGAAGCTCCAACCAACACTGTCCACCATGGGTGCCCATTACCACGAATGGCACATCACTGTCACAGGCTTCAGCATCACAGCAACCACGAGTCACCTCTGATGATGCTGAAGACAAATTCCTATATGCAAAGAAAACCAGTTGCTGCAGAGTCGATTTTGACTCATGGTGACCCATTGTGTGTCAAAGTCGATTTGTACTCCTCAGGGGTTTTCACTGACTGATCTTTTGGAAGGCGATAATGCAATCTTTCGTCCAAGGAACCTCTGGGTGAACTCAAACTTCCAACATGTTGGTTTCCATGCAAATGCATGAATCACGTGCACCACCCAGAGATTGCATAGATGTTGAATATTTATAATAAAAATGTTTACCGTGAATTAAGTGTTGGCTAACCTTGGGAGCATAGTGTTGGTGGAGAAAGATGAATACACCAAGGGTTGCCAGGAGAATGAGTAAATCTGTCTTGGAGGAAGTACAGTGTCTGACTCCTCAGAAAGGAAGGTGGCCCACTTTCATCCCATCTTACTTTGGATCTGTTATGAGGAGACACTAGTGTATTGAGAAGGACATCACACTTGATAAAGTAGATGGTCAGTGAGTCAGTAAAATGTCCTCAAGGAGATAGGTTGACAGAGCGGCCACAACAATAGACTCACGTGGAACTGTCAGAATGGCACAGGATGGGGTAGTTTCATTCTCATGTTCATTGGGTTATTATGAGTCAAAAGCAACTCAGTGTCCCCTAACAGCAACAGCCACAAATCACCAGCTCAGTGACCTCCTCAAAGACACAGTTTATCTCCATCTCTTGGTTTCACCAGCTGCAATGCGTTGGCTCCACCTATCTGTGAGCAAATTCCTTCTATGATCCCTTGGAACCAAAGACAAAAAGAGCCAGATCTACTTCTTTGTCTTTCGATCCCTCACACATCATGGCCCGAGCTCCAACACATGCTCATTTCTTAACCAATCACTGGTGAGAAGAAAACACCTGCCCTGCTTTGTATAACGAAGCTTAACATCATAAAGAGGATGCAAGACTGTCCCAGCAAGATCAGGATTATGATAGGAAGGCAGAGGGGGTGAATGTCTTGGGACGCAAGAGTAATGTGACATCCACTTCCATGATAGCTTGCCTCCAGAAACCCTACGAACCTGGAGAAAGGATGAAAGTCACACAAGTGTTGAGGACTTTCGTTCCTAGGGTCATTATGAGTCACCTACGACTCAAAGGCACTTAACAACAGCAACAACAACATGCGTCAACAGTCATGGTCTTTTGGCTGCTAACATCATGGACTGGGAAAAGAATAAACAAATGTATCTTGGAGGGGGAAAAATATAGTTTGCTCTCACTTGTTATGCATCAGAGAGTTGGACAATGACTAAGGAGGATAGAAGGAGAAATTGATGCCTTTGTGCTGTGGTGCTGGAGAAGAGTATTGAGGGTACCATAGACTGCTAGGAAAACAAACAGATTCATCCTGGAAAGGATCAAACTGGGCTGCTCCTTGGAGGTAAGGATTCTAAGGCTCCGTCTAAGGGACATCATGCTTGGGAGGGTGGAGGGACAGCGCAGAAGGGAAAGGTCCTCTAGGAGGTGGATTGATTCAGTGACTGGGGTAACTGGGATGGGTGTGTTGGAGACAGTGCAATTGGCACAGGACAGAGCAGAGTTTAGGG